TTGCCTCCAGAAGTTGTGAATGCCCCAACACTGGAAGTCTTTAAGAAGATGTTAGATAGCTATTTGTCTGAAATGGTATAGGATTTCCTGCCTAGGCAGAGGGTTGAAGACCTCCAAGGTCCCTTCCAACTCTGCTATTGTATTGTATATATGAATAACATTAAACATTGATATACACTTGAATGTATTAAATTTCTCATTGGACTGAACATTTTTATGCTTCCGTTTCAAGGTCATATCTGGTCAATTTTTATCAGACAAAAAAATTGGCACTTACGTAGAGGTGGATATGTATGGCCTTCCCACTGACACGATACGAAAAGAATTCCGAACACGGATGGTGATGAACAATGGCTTAAATCCTGTTTACAACGAAGAATGTTTTGTCTTTCGAAAGGTACGTATTTCAGATGCCTGAGTTATGCCTTTCAGGTTTTACGAATAACACTTTGCCTCAATACTTTTCCTGAACAAGAAATCTTTAAGGAAAAGATTCACCAATCTGATGTCCCCTCAATCGCGTTGAGTTATAAACCTTCCCCAAATGCTCAGCTAAAATTTCAACTCTGGGCATTGCAGGCACATCACTTCAGTGAAAACAATGATTTGGGGATGGCTGATTTAGGAGACCAGATCTTGCACTTTCCCTTCATCCACCATGATGCATTTTTTTTTGTCATGGGATAGAGTTAACTAAATCTGGATTTTTTTTAAAAGGGAAACTCTTGTAGCTATCACATGATTTTTATTTTTCTGTTTGGCTTTTCCCTCTTCTTGCTTCCTCCTCCTCCTCCTCTTCCTCCTCTTCTTCTTCCTCCCTCTTGGAGGAACAGCCTTGTTCGTGGCTATGGCTATGCCTGTGCTCCAGGTATGCAGTCTGCTCAGAATGAGCTCCGGCTGGGGAACCTCTGCCTTCCTTGGAGATTACAACTTCTTCCCTGCCCTGGCAGTGGCTGCTATCTTGCACTGTTCCTTCAGCCAAGAGGGCAGGTGAGACCCTGCATCCAAAGCTAAGGTCAATGTCATTACATGGATTCAGTCAGGGGGTGCTGCCTCTGCTTCTGAGGCTGGCTCCCTCGTCCTGTCTGCGTCGTGTATATTTCTTCTCTCTTCCACCACAAGCTTTCTAGACACCATTTGGAGAAAAGTAGTCTTTTTTTTAAAAAAAATGCTTCTGGGGGTGAGTTTACTTGTGCCATTTTACAAAACAGTCCCATCACCATAGTTGCAAGGGGCAGTGTTTCAAGAGGAATTATTTTCGTGCATATTCTTACTCTTGGTTTTAAGTCTGCACCAGAACAAAGTGGTACAGTATGGGAAGCTCAGTGAACATTTTGGCTTACGTGAAAATGACAAAATCCTGTGTTTGGAATCACGAATACAGGACTTGAAAATATTATTATCTCTGTATGGATCTATGGTGCAGCCAAATTTGGAAATCATGTACCATTTTGAATATTAAGAGAACTTACCCAAATGACAATGGAGACTCTTCCCCTCTGAAGACAGGTTTCCAGCATTGGGGGAGATTTTAAAGGTTAGAAATAAGGCAAATCAGAGACGACAGATTTGCAGAATTATGCCTGGTGTAGAGAAAATGAATAAAGATTTTTGGTGTGTGTCTTTTACTCAGTATTGCCATTAGGGTTATCTAATGATAGTGCATGATAGGAGATTCATAAGAAATACAAGACTTTCCCATGCAATGCTTAATTAAACTGTTGTCATAAGATGTCGTGATGGCCAATAAATTGAACAGCTTTAAAAGGGAATTAAGCAAAATTCATGGAGGACAAAACTACTGACAGCTAGCGACCATGAGGTCTGTATATTATTGGGAGTGTTGCAGGCAGTAAGCCTCTCAATATCATTTACAGTCTTCTGGTTTCCTCGTAGATGTCAACAGGTCAGTAAAGAAAACCAAATATTGAACTAGAGAGAGTTTTGGGCTGATTCAGTGGCTTCTCTTAATTTTCATTCCTATAAGGCATGTATACTCTTTCTGTACCACTTTGTGAGAAAATTGGATATTACTTTTGTAGAAGAACTTCTTGCCAATGAAAATAAGTAGTCTAACCTTGTTATTAACCCAGCAAGGGATTTAAAAATAAAATAAAAAATAAGGGGACTTTTCAAATATATATCTTCCATGCAAGCATGCAAATCTCATTTCATTCTGAAGAAATGCCAAGTTCAGTAAAGCACAGTTAAGCTGCACTGTGGTTAAGCTGCACCATGTTGCTTGCGCATACATAATCGTTAGCCCCTGAAATTGCGTAAAAAGATTTGTCAAAATGCACATGCAGATTCACTCTTAAGGGCAATCCCTGGTGTCTATATTTTTTTCTATACCATTCTACTTTAATTTTTTTTTGTCAACTAAAGTTTATCCAGAAGTGTGTACGTTAATGGTGCCGTCATGACAGTGTCTTCTTTCCTTTTACCTGTTCTGTTGTCTAGAATGCAGAACAATCACCTGCTTCCCCCCCCCCCCTTCGTGATGTACTTTTCTGGCTAGTATCATGCCTATTTTAGTTATGGTTGGGGGCCAAATATAAAGCATCATAGTAGCATGACCCAGATTTTATGCAACCGATACATAACTTAATAACATTTGAAATACATCAGAAAAATTGCACAGCCCAAGGCCTGCATACTAGGAGAATTGTGTAATATGGTCAAGTTAGGATTGATTGTTAATTACTTAGCATGAATCTCATGCAAAAACTTAACAGGTGCAGGTAGTCCTGGATTCACTTAGTGACTGTTCTAAGTTACAACATCACTGAAAAGGGTGACTTACGGCCGTTTTTCACAGTTACAACTGTTGCTGCATCCCCGTGGTCACATGATCAAAATTCCGCCACTTGGCAACTGGTTCATATTTATGACAATTGCAGAGTCCTGGGGTCATGTGATCCACCACTTGTGACTTTCTGACAAGCAAAGTCAATGGGGAAGTCAAACTCACTGATCAGTTGTGTTATTAACTTAACAGCTGCAGTGATTCACTTAACTGTGGCAAGAAAGGTTGTAAAATGGGACAACATTCCCTTAACAACTGACTCACTTAGCAACATAGATTTTGGGCTCAATTGTGATAATAAGTCCAGGACTACCTGTAATGTGTGAATTGTGTTTTATTGTCTACCTGTTTTTTTACAAAAATAAAACTGCTGTTGTAATACATATTCTGTGTCGTTATTCTTCTGTGAGCTATTACTCAATTGTGATATGATATTTTATTTAGTATTTATGTTGGGTCAGTCTTGAGCTATATTAACAATGCATGCTAGTTGGTATATTTTCTATTAATTGCCAAATAATAGCCTAATCCTCTGGGGCCCTTTGTTAATTGCAGAACTCAAAAACTAGACAAGGCTACCTAAATTGAATCTTTCCTTTAACAGGCAGCCAGAAGAAGGGATTGCTTATATTTTGGAAATGTATATATCAAAAAATAAAAGGTGAATAACTTAAAAGTATGGAAAATAGCAGCTTCTAAGGCAAAATGTGTTAAAGAGCCTTATGATACAAAATATTTTAATATAGCATTTAATACATGTAACTTTAGAAATCTTTTTAATCCTTTAAGATATTTTACCGGCAACTTGAGATTATTATCCCATATAGTCTTGGCAAAAGCTGCTGCCAATTTTTCCTTATTTAGACAATTTTGCATTTGCTCTAATTAAACAAAGTATTTTGAGATGTCTCATTCTTGCTATGGAATGATGCCTGAAGGGACCCAGGCTATGATACAATGCCAGGACTAATTATTTGCATTAGCTAGGAAAAAAATGATTTTCCTGTATTCCATCAATGGAATCCTTGTGTTATAATGCATTAAGCAGTGGTCTTTTTTTAATTTCCCATAATTTGTTCTGTACGAAAGCAATGGTTCTGTTAGTAGAATCCACGGGACAAAAAAAGATTAACTTGTTTGCATTGTCCTCTGCAATTTGAGAAATAGAAAAGACCTATATCCATTTACAATCAGCATTGGTGCAACTTGGATAAATGTTGTGAAACTGCACGCTACCTTTTATAAAATCACATACAGATGAGCACTTTTTGCTATTAGTTTAGGTGAAGTCACACAATGTGGTGGTAGAGGGCTATTTAAAAGGAAATTCCTCCTAACGTTTTCCCTGTATTTGGAAACAAAAGTTGGGGATCACTTACCTTTATAACCTTATTTATCTTAATCTTTTTTTTATTAGAGAGTTTAGAATGTTGAATGTAAACATTTGGTGAGGAAAGTAGGATTTTAATTCCATCCTGATTAAAAAATACTAGCCTTTAGTATAGTACTATGAGGAGTTTTAAACCTTGTTTTTCTGCCAATCGCATGGTAAGCCTGAGTCTCCCTGAGAGTGGGTGGCTCAATTTTATAAATAAAGTCCAAATCTTCATGTGGGCAATATTTGATAGTTAGAAACGTTATCCCTCATAGGGACTTTGGAAATCCCTGAGCTTGAGTGTTTGCTTGCAGACTTTTTATTAGATAACTTCATCAGTGCTACTGAGTGTGTAATTTGCTCCCTGTTCACGTGCAGTAGCTTGCCCTGCCATTGTTAGTAGAGGTGTGGTTTCCTGGCAGTTCCTTGATTAAGGTATTTCTGTTAGATCATTTAGCAATAGCAATAGCACTTAGATTTACTGTATATACCGCTTCACAGTACAGTCTTCTCTAAACGGTTTACAGAGTTAGCATACTGCTCCCAACAATCTGGGTCCTCGTTTTACCAACCTCAGAAGGATGGAAGGCTGAGTCAATCTTGAGCCTGGTGAGATTTGAACTGCCAGATTGCAGGCAAACGGTAGTCAGAGAAATAGCCTGCAGTACTGCATTCTCATCACTATGCCACAGCGGCTCCCTGCCAGGTATTATTTCCGGCTTATCTGCATATTGGCTGGTACAGAATGTATTCTGGTCTTTGTGTTTCCTCCTGCTACTATATAAACAAGGAGCAAACCCCACACACCCCTAGTGCTGATGATATTACTTAGTTGGATAATAAAATGTCTGCAAGCGAACAATCAAGTTCAGAGAGCACCAAGGACTCCACAGTTCAACCTTGAATTATACATGTTCTCTTCTATGGGAACATTATCTCTTTCCTGCGTGAGAATCCTTCAGGCTTGGTTTGCCTGCTAAGGTGATAAGAAAAAAATGTTTTTGTTCATCAAAGATTATATTTCTGTGCATGACACAGATGAATTGCATAGCTAATAAAAATGTAGATATTTTGGAATGGGAACCACTTTGGAGAAAGCAACCATATGCTACCAAAATAGTATTGAGTACTCATTAGGCTAACGTAACCTCCATCCTTGGAAGATCCATTTATTCTAATCACTATTCTAATCGTTTTTATTCTTCCAAATTTCTGGAATTTTCATTTTTAGAAAGAAAAGCAAAGTAACAGAATTAAATAATGTTGATTGGCTATTTTTAGAGACATAAATCAATAACCACTACTAATGTATTCTGCGTAACATTAACACGTAGTGCCATCCAAGACGTCGTTCAAGGAAGCCTAATAATATTGTAAATATGTAATCAAACATCCCTTTGGGGCAAACTGTTAGAACCTGGTTCCAGATGGGGTTGCTGGATTTCTTCAACGATTACAAGGCGGGAATGTGCTGTCTAATGAGCCTGAATAACACCTTTATTCTGGGGTTTCTTAGGTGATTCTACCAGATCTTGCAGTCTTGAGGATAGCAGTTTATGACGACAACAATAAGTTGATTGGTCAAAGGATATTGCCACTGGATGGGCTTCAGGCAGGCTATCGACACATTTCCCTTCGAAATGAAGGCAACAAGCCATTGTCTCTGCCAACGGTTTTCTGCAACATTGTACTTAAAACTTATGTGCCTGATGGTTTTGGAGGTAAATGCTTCAATCATATATTTTATTTGGAGCGAATTAATTGGGAAGGATTATGGACATTTTACAGCACAATTCAGAAACTAGGCCCTATCAATCCACGGCCCACTCTTTATGCCTTTCAGCCAGGCTGACAAAAATGGATAATACATGTAATCACCTATTGAGGTGGGAAGCTCACAGAATAACTTTATGCAAGTATAAAAATAAGCTTAACACATTTTAAAAATCCATACGCACACACTGTCTTCCTCCCCAACTTTCCAGCAGAGTATCTTAGCTCAGCCTAACAGACGATGTAGTTCCATCTGCTTTATTTCTTTCCTGCAGCTACTGTAGCCCTTGCCCCCATAACTGTAGTTACCTAACCATTGAGAATCTTGAATATTTCTTAGGCTTGTGCTGAAAATAATGGAAAATTTTTGCAATGAACCTGGGAATTTTATCACACGTTTCCCCCCCCCCCAGTCCCATTGAAATGAGTGCAGATTAAGCCTTTTAGCAGATTAGAGCTGGAAATGAAAGGTAGGGTCTCTGAAAGTGTCTTTTGTAAGAGGCCTGCTTCCCATTTACAGAAGTTTTGTGGCATGTGGGAAACGGAATTTGCCTTGTTTGCTATTTGTTTGAGATGGGTGGCCATACTGATTGATTGATTGATTGATTGATTGATTGATTGATGCTCCTAAGCTAAGGAATGCATACCTTTGAAAGTCCCAATTTGATATGCAATTGGAAAGATAAGTAGTAGTAGCAGTAGCAGTAGCAGTAGCAGTAGTAGTAGTAGTAGTAGTAGTATCAGATGGCATTAAGACAACTGATAAAATACTCTTTTGTGATCTTCAGGGCTTCCCATATTTCATTAAACCAAGGAAAGACATATCCTGACTTTTTTTTAAAGTAATGGTATGAATGTCACCAATATAGCAGTTAGCAGTAGCAATTAGACTTATATACCGCTTCATAGGGCTTTCAGCCCTCTCTAAGCGGTTTACAGAGTCAGCATATTGCCCCCAACAACAATCTGGGTCCTCATTTTACCCACCTCAGAAGGATGGAAGGCTGAGTCAACCCTGAGCCGGTGAGATTTGAACAGCCGAACTACAGAACTGCAGTCAGCTGAAGTAGCCTGCAGTGCTCCATTTAACCACTGCGCCACCTCGGCTATAGGGAAATCTTGTCCTTGAGAAATTGTTGGGGAATTTTTCATCCCTCTGGAAAAATGAAAATGAATGGTCTGCCCATTTCTCTGACCCTCAAACATTTTTTTATCTCATTCTTTCTCCAAGTCCAAAGATCCAGGACAGCTTGGTATAATAGCCACCAAGGCTGTTTGAAAACACTCATTTGACCTTGTCTCTTAATAATGGTGAACATAATGAGGAAAAAACTCTGCCCCAACTGCCCAATGCCTGATTCTTCAAGATAGCTATTTTAGCAAGCAAAGTGAAAGGGAGGGGGGGAGGATGTTGGGATGTGTATCAGATATTTTGATTGAACAACAACACAATGGGATGGTATTAATCAGAACAGAGCCTCTTCTGCCCCCAATAAAACTCAAGTAGTTTTGTTTTACTTCTATCTATGATGTGATTGTGTGTATTGAAATAAGATTTGAATAGTGTGCAGAATATTAGGCATATTTCTGGAATTACTGCAAGATGGTGCACGCATTGGTAATAAGAGGTTTTGTGTGAAGTTTTTGTGACTATTATTATTTTTTAAACAAGACCAATTTACAAAGCCACTAGATATGAAATGTCAGCAAGAGGTCCAGCAAAGTACATACTTCCCTGATAAATAGGGTGATGTGGGGAGAAGCATGTCTTTATCATGCACAGGCAATGTTTGGCCTTTCCACACATGAAGAAAGCAAGATTTGGGGCAGTTGTACATGTATGCACTCTCACATGTACACTCACATTCACACACACATATACATATCTTGCTCCCCTAGCATAAAAAGTGCTGTGTGTGTTCATGCATGTTACTTTTTTCGTACTATTTCTCTTAAACGGAAGATGGAACCTGTTGCATCCCTTAGATTTATGAAGACTTTCCATTTTATCACTTCTCACAATTAGGGAGACAGTAATGCATGATAAAATTAAGCAGAGAAGTTGGTAGGAATTATGTGATGGGCTTTAAAGGGATCTGAAGTTGAAAATAGCTTGACTACTTATTTAAATTCCTTTTTAGATATTGTGGATGCCTTGTCAGATCCAAAGAAATTTTTATCTGTCATGGAGAAAAGAGCAGACCAGATGAGAGCTATGGGAATTGAAACGGTAAGCAGTAATTAACCTTGGATAGGGAATTGATTTGCATTTTTTTCCAGGAGCCTCTTTTAGCAGAATATTTAAAAGATTAGAATGACAGACAACATTGGCTGACTTTTCTGTTGCTTCACCATGGCTAAAATTAAACATTATTTATATTATCAGGAGTGTAGAAGGTAAGTTTCAAAGGAGATGGCTGGAGGCAAAATTCTGGTGCTCTTCCTCTCCTCTACTTTATGCCATTGTATCCCAGCAATACCACTCTGGATTCTATATGGAAAGGAGAGACTTTGCATAAAGAAACTAAGAAGTGCAAATTTAATATCAGAACTAAGAACAAGGAAATGGTTATAGCAGAGTACTTTAGCTTTCCAGAACATATCTCAATGTAGCAATTTGGGAACTACTCCCCCCCCCCCCAATCATAGGTGAGACAGTTCACCTTCATAGAATTCAGGCTTTCAGACGTTCAGAACAAACACAGTTTGTTCTTACACATTACAAGTGTGAACTGATAAGGCGCTTGTGATCTGTTCCCTCTAGAACTTTCATCTGCATTATTACCATGTCTTCGCTACTCCTCTCGCTACTCCTCTCCATCCCTATGCAATTTAATCCTTTTTCAGTGGCGCCACTCTGATGAAGGGAGCTGCCGCCGCAAAAGCTTGTGCCTTAAAATAAAAATAGTTTTCAAAAATGCTACCAAATAATTTCTGATCTCTTCTTCTACAGTCATTTAGGGTATTGGAGCCCTTGTTGGGTACCTGATGCTTTATTGTTGATGATCAGATATATCATTATTGTTTTATGCTTTTTGTTTTACATATATATTTATTGTTTTGCTTTGTACTGTTACTCGACAGTACACACAACCCGATTCAGTTGAAATCAGGAAGCATAAATAAATAAATAAGATTTTGCCTCTTAAGATGAAATGGTAAGTTTGTAATCCAGGGACTAGAAAACATCTGTAGTGTTGCCTGTAAGCAATCTGGGAAAAAACCCCTATGACCCCAAAGCCTCTCACAAAATTGTACCATCAAAATTGGCAGCAAATTTCAATATGTTTTTCCAAGAAGAAATTAAACATAGCAAACATGTTAAGCCACTAAGAGGCTTAACACACTAATAGCACTATATTCAACCCTTCGCCAAAACTGAGTTCACTGCATTGCTATCATGACCATGGCTGCCAAAATGTTAACTTAGGAGTAGTTAAGCCACTAAAAAGATGCCTATCTCTGTGCTAAGCAATATGAGTCATTTCAGACTCTTTGAATACTAAGTCCATAAGCTTTTGAATTGAAATGGAGAGCATGCTAATAATAAATGTGAACAAGGAAAATTGTCACTTTTTTTTAGTATGCAATGGTTCTGTTACTGCTGGCTGGTCTTTTTCAGGTTTCCATTCCCTCTATACACACACACATACACACTCATACACACAGAGAGAGACAGACAGACAGACAGACAGACAGACAGACAGACAAAGACACACACTCCAATTATACTTAATTAGTGGTCATGCACAATCTTTTGGTTTTTCAACATTCATTTAAGACAGATGGGGGGGGCTTCCTACATTGGCACTGTTAATTTTAAGTACATGAGCACCCCTTTCAAGCTCTTGAGAATCCTATTAATTTATACAATAATACACCACGAACTTTAGAAACAGACACACATACACTACCACTTGGTAAGAGATTTTGTCCAGCGGTTCCTCTAATTAGTCTCTTTTGATTCTAATTGCTGTTCTACCTTTCCCAGTTGTGCATTTGAGTTTTATGTCTGGTGAGGAGAAGATGTAGATCAGGAGTGTAAAACTCGCAATGACATGTTGTCACACAGCTTTTTCCCCCTTTGCTAAACTGGGGGTGGCATGGCCAGCATGTGATGCATCCGGCCCATAGGCTGTGAGTTTGACACCCCTGATGTAGACAGCTGGATGAAACCAGAGGGAAGCACATAAGGTAACATTGCCTAACTGTCCTTGTACAGCACTAATGGTAAAAAGGGAATAAGATGGCCTGGTTATTATGATGCTTGCCAAGATGTTTCAATGACAGTCATTGACATTGGGACTTCTTGCATCCTGCCCTTTGATACTTGATTTAGATCTCAGTTTCTTTGATTGTTTCAATTTTTTCATACTGGCCCTTCCAGATTTGTCCATGGTATCCTTTTTAAAAGGCCTTATTTCTTACAGAGTGACATAGCTGATGTTCCAAATGACACATCGAAGAACGATAAGAAGGGGAAAATTAATAACGCTAAAGCAAATGTTACTCCTCAAACTAGCTCTGAAGTCAGATCAAATCCCATTTCCAGTACAGGACCTGGTACTGAAATTAAGAAAGGTAAGCAAACATCTAGAAGATGATTACTGTATTCAGATACTCTCTGTATCATATTTCTCCTGATCGTAGTTAGAGTACCTATGATGCGTTAAGGGAAAATATTTATTCTCCTTTGTAATAATCTGGATATCTTTTCAGCAAGTGTATATAATTCAATAAAGTGACATTGAAGTAAGTAACAATGCTGAAAATATGTTCTTGTTTTTCCTCTCCATTTTTAAGGTATAGATCTTATTCCTCAAATCAAGATAGAAGACCTAAAACAGATGAAGGTAAATTTATGCTTCAGTTAAGCAGTCCCTTGTTTGAGAATGACTTATTTTCTGATGTTTTCCTTTGCGGTTGAAAATCCAAATGTCCTTAATAAATAATTAATTAAGAATAAGATTTCATTTTTCTTGGCCTTTAATCCATTCGGGGTTTCATTTTATTTTAGGGAAGCCTTTTCAATTATATGGAAGACGTGGTTAAGAGCTGTTAGGAGCTGGTGCCTGACACTTTGCTTTTCTCCCACGTCATGGAGTGTATTCTAGAACGACTGTAAAATAGCAAGGGAGAAAATAAGAGTTTCTGTTATCATTAATCTGGGCACATGAGAATTTACATGAAATCTGTGCACTTTGCTTCAAAGATAGCAACTTGATTTTTAAACCTGTTAAAAGTTGCAACGAGTTTTGATTTTAATTTGCACATCACTCAAAGCCATAATGTGGTTTCTTGGTTTTGGTTTCTTTATTTATTTTATATACTGCACATCTCACTGTCCCAGGTATATGATTGAGCACTTTCTGAAAATCTAGCCATTGTGACTTAAGTAAATCATGTTTTCAAAAATTTTTGCCTTTACACATTGTGAAGAGTCAGTTTTAAAATCAAGACCGCTGTTTTCAAGTCTTTCTGGTTTAGATGTTTTTAAAACATTTTTTTTTAAAATTTGGAACAGGCGTATATAAAACATTTGAAAAAACAGCAAAAAGAACTGACTGCTTTGAAGAAGAGGCATGCCAAGGTAGGATATCTTTTGTTTTCTCTTTTCAGAGCTGGGGTACTTAAAATTTAAAATGGAGCAATGGTCTTTGCAAAACCATATATTAAAATAATGTATGCCATTGGTTCTTAAATATGTTTCTGTTTTCATAGATAGCATCACTCTATGGAACATTACTCTGTTCTCCAGAAGAAATTTAAGAAGCAGTACATGACTTCTATTTCTCTGACCCTCAGGCTAAGCTAGTGATGATGATTAGATATTTAACCAAAAATATTTGATTTGTAATTACATAACTTGAGAGTGAGCAATAGTAGCCTAGTGCAAAAGGCATGCATAACATTTCAAAAGTTCTGAATCAGGAATTCATTTCGAATACAAGCACTGACAGTATATGTATGTAATTCCCTTCAGCATCCATTAGCACAATAAAAATATTTTATTCTTCCTTTTTCAAAAAGAATTAAAAATTTAAAATGTGCTTAGGAATCTCAGGATGCTTTCTAGAGATATGAAATTGGGGTGGGGGCCCATTTTGCTCCAAACTCAGCATTAAAAAGTCCTATTGTGAAGATTCTGTTAGTATCCCATATTCCAACTCCATAGTCAATCTATTTTAAGGATTTTGCAGTTGGGAACTTGAGACCTGCCCTGCCTTCCCTTATTTTTTTTACACAGAAGTAGCTGGATTAACAGTCCATTCTGGGAGCTGTCTATCATTTATTTGGGTAAACATATCTATTTAAAAAAATTAATAACATGTCAAAATTTCTATAGTGGACAATGAAAGCATCCTTTAACTAACGTTCAACAGCCTAGTTTGCTGCCACAACTTCCTAGAGGACAACTCCACAAATAAACAGGAGGAATGGATTAATTTTTGCACTGCTCATGGCTAGTATAAATAGACTTCTCTGCCTACAAAATTCCCCAGGCTATTGCATTTGCATCTTGAAAGCCCAACCACATAGCAGCACAGATACTCTGCTTAACGACCATAACTGCTACTAGAATCTTCATTGCTAAATGAAGCAGTCATTAGGTGAAACATTACGTGCCCACACCATGTAGCAACAGAACTTTTGGTAGTCTTGGTGTTGCAGTTGCTAGGCCAGGAAAGCACTGTTATTAGGTGAGGACCTCACACTTCTCCTAACCTGCGATGCTCACCTCCATTTCAGCTCCTTCACATTTTAGCCTTTTCAGCCACACTGCACTATGTTGTCCCTGCTGCCCGGGGAATACTAAAAGCTATATTGAAAGCAATATATTTTGTCCAATGCTTGGGCTACATGTATATTATCCTGTTTGAAACTTAAATACAGCATTTTGTTTAAATCTGAACCTAGTTGGGTTCTTTTCAGTATCCCTTTTCAGTGCCATCCTATGGAAGATTATGGAACAAATAGTTGGACAGGGTATATGATACTTCTCTATGACAATTTGCCACAGCCAACTCACCGTGGCCAACTCACCATGGCCAACTCACTATTCGACAACTTGCCATGGCCATCTAGCTACAGGACAACTTGCTGTGGGACAAGAGTTACACTAATATCAAAGAAATGGTGGAATAGAATTGTTAAAGAAAGGATGCAAAAGGAGGGACAGAATGAAATGTGAATGGCAAAAATTAAAATATTTATTTATTTAACATAATTAAATAGAATTGTTAAATTGTCCCACAGCAAGTTGTCCCATGGTGAGTTGGCTGTGGCAATTTGTCCCGTTCCTAGTTCGACATATGGATACCATTGTCCAGCAAAGTTTTAATTTCTGAAATGTCAAAGGAAGGTATAAAGAAGTTTTATTGAAACGATATTTCATTTCCCAGGCAATAAAAAAAAACTTATGAGTTGGAAAAAGAAAAACATTGTTTTGCGTTTACTATTTGTACACAATAGCCTTGGTTGCTTAGCAACAGTTATGAGTTCTGAAAGGTGCAACTACCTGGACAGAGGAAGAGAAGGAAGGGAAGGTATGCCAAGGCAATTAGGGAAAAGAGTTGCTTCGGATATCAGTCTCATTCAGGAGACTTCGTTGATTTAGCAGACTGATGGAATAAAAAGATGTTTGTGCCATTTTGAAACCTTTTAATAGATGCTATAGTGAGGGTTGGGGGGATTTTGTTTTTCTTTCTCTGTCCTCCTCTGTTAAAACACAAATATCTAAATCCTTTGATATGCAGACTGTAGCCTAATATGCCATTTTTCCCCCTCCATTGCAGGAGCACAGTGTCATGCAGAAGTTACACTGCACACAAGTTGACAAAATGGTAGCCCAGTATGACAAAGAGAAGCTATCTTATGAGAAACTCCTTGAGAAGGCGATCAAGAAAAAGGGGTATGGCCTTGTTTAAAAAGCAACATTTTTTGACAGCAGGAAAGAATAATTTAGTTCCATTCTTATTCCCCCAGAAACAGATCAAAGTACCCTTGCAGTTGAGACATGTCATTCTATGTGCGAGACTCCCTAGGGAAGGCTTGTGTATTCGGTTCAGATTAAGAGATTTAAAAATGACACATTCTTTTAAGGGGGAAAATGGGGGGGCTGGAGGTTATTAGTAAGTAATCTACAAATCATTACACTGACCTCAATGGAGTATTTACATCCTCATCACATAAAAGCTAACAAAAGATCCAAGTTAGGCATAATAAAAGCTGGTCCACATTTATTCATATGTCTGTTCTCATATCTCATCAAGTGTCTTGGTTCTGAATGTACAGTATATATGTTGACCCTGCAAATAGTTCTGAGGATGTATTTAAATCCTATGGAATACAGTATGAAGAGTGGTTGTCAATGGATAGTGTGTTTTTCATGTCAGCTTCGTTAGTCTAACCAGGTTATCTGATCAGGTCAACATCTGATCAAAAAACAAAAATCTGCCTGCTATTGCAATCAACACTTTTCTGTGTAGACAGTATAAATGGAGTGCTTCCTCTCATCAAAACTAGCATGATGTGCCTGGATTCTTTCTGGTGAATGAAACACTAGGCTAATAAAATGAGGAAAACTATGGTGGGCAGCCAGAAGCTTTATAATTAAATTTCTGAAATGCAATAAGATCAAGATGTGATTTTAATATTGCCCCTTGGAATTTTGCAAGATACAAGGTGAGGATCGTGTGATAGTCAACATCTCAACATCCCCTCAAGATTTGGATCATATATCACCATCATTATCATTATCACTGCTGTCACATCTATGCCATATCTCACCATACATAATATCTCACAATAAATCTGAAAAAGCTGCTGATCCCACAACTACACATTGCGGAGTGAAAGCATAAGACACGGTTGCCTCCATTTGTGGTTCTCTTTATGGGAAGAATTATATATATGTACACATATAGTGTGTGTGTGTGTGTGTGTGTGTGTGTNAAAATTCAGCAGATTCTGACAGGTTCTGTAGAACCGGTAGTGGAAATTTTGAGTAGTTTAGAGAACCGGCAAATACCACCTCTGGCTGGCCCCATAGTGGGGTGGGAATGGAGATTTTGCAGTATCCTTCCCCCAGGAGTTGGGAGGGAATGGGGATTTTGCAGAATCCTTCCCCTGCCACGCCCACCAAGCCACGCCCACATAACCGGTAGTAAAAAAAATTCAATTTCACCATTAGTAACATTCCAATAAATATTTGGCTGAAGGAATTAGAGGCTATTTTATCCTGAAGAGAGAGGAGCCTTTCTGTATTTCTAAAGTTTAGGTACTTTTGCAAATATTGGAATACTTCTAAGTGTTGTGTTCACTTCATCTTGGCTGGGATTGATGATATATAAGGGCTAGAACTGAGAAAAACAATATCTCAGTTAATATGTATGATAGGTGATTGTCAAGGCAGATACTGTATATGGTAAGAGTCTTAGACAATTAAATTAGCATTTCCTTGCTTCCCTCTTGTTTCTTTTTCCATATCTTGTAACTGACCACTTTTCAACAGTCAGTTACATGAATTCAGAAATATGTTACTAAGAGTTAAAAATCCGTGCACCATTGTCCAACTCATTCCATTTAATGGTGTGATTTGGACCATATTCTGTTCTAACCAAAGCTTCCTTGATAATTCAATTGAAGTCCTTCATGGCACAAAATTTCCACTTCTATCCCCAGATTTATTATTTCAGAAAGGTTTATTATAATGGACAAGTTCATACAAAGCTCTTGCTAAATGCTAATAATAAAGAGTTGTGGACTAATCTTAGACAGGCCATAAAGATATAATTATTATTGTTAGATCTTAGGGTTAGAAAACGTTTTAGTTATCTGTTAATAGTCACTTATTCTAAACCTTAACTTTTTATTTCTGGAATGAGTGTAATTTGATATATTTTATACTGGTCTGTGACTGAAGAGGAGGTAGGCTCTTAGTATTTTTTCAGTGACATTTTAATATGTAATACAACTAGACACTACAGTAGTAAATATATCATTCATAGGCGTGTGAGGGAGCTGAATAGCAGTAACACAAAGAAGTTTCTGGAAGAAAGAAAACGGGTGAGTAGTTAATCATTTGAAATATCATAAACTTTTTTTAAATTGGTGAACTGTTTTCCAAGATCTGATGGAACTGAGTAGATTGAAAGACAGAAGGCATAGTGGAAATAGGAACTGTTCATGAAATAAATACCATACAGCATTTTTAGAAGTCGTGACTTGAAAAAAGGAATATTTGGGGGCTTTGGGTCCAAACTAGGACAGAAAAGGTTATCTGTGACTAACTGAAGTCTGAAGGCAGATCATTTTTTCTGCCCTGGTTCTGTTGGATATTCATGTGCATTTTATCAAGTATCTGCCTTTCTCTAAGCACTTTCCTAATTTACAAAATATGTCCCTGAATATAATATATGTGTTCTATATTTTATAGTCTTCATTAGGTAATTTTAAAGAAATTTCACATTGTGAAATATAGAAATATGCAGGCGTCAACTTGAATGTTGATTCATGGATATGTTCAGAAAAACACAGTGGTTAAATTTGTATCTAGAGATGAACAGAATAGACTTCTCCCCACCTTTTGATGCTGTTGATTTCCCTGAGAACACTGTAATTGAAAGTACCTGAATAGGAATGTCTCAGAAGGAAGGCTGAAATAAATGATCTCTGTTGTAGACAATTGCATGTGGATTAGCAGAATTGGTTTGAATCTAGCCCCAGCAATCTCATCCATATGCATCCTGTTTTGGGGCATATTCTAAACATTTTCCTAATGAAACTCGAACTTCTTACAGATTAAAAACTGGAGACACTAAATTCACTTTGAGAGTTTCTTTGACTATTGCTCTTTTTCATTTCACAAATATTTTAGAAGGTGGAAGAAGTTTATATAGATAACACCACTCCTTATCCAATAAATAAACGATGAATCTAGTTACACTGTTTGTATTTGTTAATCAAGGGATCAGTTTATTATGCTTAATTTTTACCCAAAAAAATGTATGGATACGAAAAGAAAACTATGGAAACTCAAAATAGTACTCCACATCAACCCAATGTTCAGACATCATTTTCTTATTATTCTCCCAGTTTAGCTTTTGGAATGTTAATTACGCTGAAAAATAATAACCTAGCGCATTGCATGAACTCAATCTGTTTGCTTGGTTTCTGATTTAGGGTATTATGAGGACACAAATAAATGGGTTGATCAAGTAATCACTTTCTACTTGTTATGTGTTCCATGCCCTGCCCTATGCAGCAACATGACTGAGTTCTTTTATTTCCCTTGTCAGAAAGCAACATAAGCCCAGTGGGGTAGACAGTTCAGCTACATTGCACCATGCCATAATGTCATTTTCAAAGAAACACAGTCCTGGAGGGACATTGAAGTCCTTATAAGAATCGGATTTTTCCTTTGGGTAATTTTATCAGTACAAAGAATTAAGATGGTCTGTGGAATTGAATGGATGCTAATATACTAACCCTACGTAGGTGTCTTACTCAAAGTTTATTGAGAATCTTTTATCTAGCACAATAGTGATTTTATATACAGCACCTAAAAGCATAGGGTATCCAAATGAGAAAATCATCTCTTAAGGTTTTTCCTCAAGCTAAATATCAGCTTCATTTAATTGTATAATGCTCACATCACATGAAGGAGATCACGGGAAGTTCCTTATTTTCCTTTTGTTGTTGTTGTTGTTGTTTTGAATTATGTCCCCTTGCTGTGTTCCATATGGCAAGTTCTTTCAGAAAGCAATATTTTGGGGACAACCACTTTGGAAAATCCATGTAACACAAAAGAATGTGGTTATTTCATTTTCCCCCTTTCTGGTTTTGCTTACAGTTGGCAATGAAGCAATCAAAGGAAATGGATCAGTTGAAGAAAGTCCAACTTGAGCATGTAGAAATTTTGGAGAAACAAAATGAGCAGGTAACAAACACCTGGCTGTAAAAGAAAAGGGAATCTAGGAGTTGTGACCTGTTATCTGGTTATTGATTTATCTGAGGCAAGAATGACTTATTTCATTCATATGGGTATCAGACTGAGCCTGACAAGTGCCCTGTATGTCATTTATAATCTATAGACCAGGGGCGTCAAACTCATGTCATCATGGCGGCGTCACGTGATGTATTGGAACTTTTTTCCCCTTTGCTAAACCGGGCATGGTTCCTGGCTAGCGCGTAAAGCATCCGGTCCGTTTGACAGCCCTGCTATAGACCATGCCAATATACGAACCAGCACTAAGAATACAAGTCTAGAAATTTCAAGTAGGCATGTTTTAAGTTTCATTCCAAAGCATTATGTTAGCTGTAGCCTAAAAGAGAAGCTTTGAACTGTGCCTGTTAGGATGTCTTTTTGTGTCCCAATGGCATTTTGAGAGGTAATGAAAGGACCCCAGTAGCTGCTTGCTGAAATGGGGAAACTAAAAGAGATGTCCTGTATTACTGGAAACTAATCTTATGCAAAGCAGACATTTAGACAGATCTGAAGTCGTTTCAATCTCTTTCAATATTCGCTCTGATACTCCCTTAGTGGAAGCAAAGCCCATCTATAAGCATCTTCACTGCTGCTTCTACTATTGCTACTGTGACAGACAAAGGAGAAGCAGCCTGCTGCTCTTTAGGTTTTATGGATTTCAGAGTCCCAGTTAATATGGACAATGGCAAGTGATAATCAGAATTTTAGTCTAGAACATCTGGGACATAGCAGATTGCCTACTTTAAAAAAATATTGTAAGGAAATTTAAATGTAGTTACTGGTAATTTTTGTTATAGAAAAAAATGGTGTTTTTCAGTTCAGTTATTGTGAAAACCATGCTAAGTGAACAAGGACAGATAAAGATCAGTTTTATCCTCTTTTGTTGAATCCAGTATGGTATGAATAAATCATTCTTTCTTAAGTTAGGACATAAAAACATTGTAGGTTTGTCTAAAATAAGAATCTTTAGAAAATACTCTAGGTTCCATGCAAGTTATTTATTGAGCAATAATCTTATTTTCTGCCATATTCTACTATACATGGAGGGGCAGAATGAATGAGCATGTGCTCATTTGATATAATGTTATGGGGCTGGACTAGCAGCAGGGAAATCTGATTCTAGTCCTAGCTCAGGCACAAAAACATCTGGTTGGCCTTAGGCCAGCAGTCCCCAACCTGTGGGCCATGGCCTACCACTGGGCTGTGGCCTATTTGCAACTGGGCTGCATGAAGAGCAGGCCAGTGTGCATGCACGCGCAGCTCAACTCACACAACTGGCAAGCCAGTGCGCTTACATGGCACGTGCAGCTCAACTGGTGCAAGTCGAGCTGCACGGGCATGTGTGTGCACGCTGACCCACCACTCATGATGCCCAGTTCCTCTCTCTCCCCCCCCCCTCCAGTCAGGCCACCAAGCCACAAGGTTTGGGGACTCCTGCCTTAGGCCAATCACTCTCTCTCAGTTTTAGGAAGAAGGAAATGAAAAATCATTTCCAAAACTGTTGCCTAGAAAACTTCATAAATGCGTAGATGTGTCCAGGTAGCTGTTAGAAATTAACTGTGACTCAAAGATGATACAGTGATACCTTGGTACTCAACTATTTTGAAACTCATCAAATTTAGTACTCAACACAGTTTGATATGAAATGTTTGTCCCGGTACTCATTGTTTGTTTGGTACTCAGTGCACAGGCTAGAACTTTTCAGTGTCAACTGCCTTGTGACTCACTACATTATTCTTAATGGAAAAAAAATTGTTTGGTACTCATAGCTTTTGATATTCATTGTGCCTCTTGGAACCAATTAACATTGAGTACCAAGATACCATTGTGTAGCTATGTAGATGAGTATGATGCATTACTGCTTTTCATTACTTTATCATTTCTGCTATAGTTCTGAATATTATTTCTACATAATTTCCTTCATTACTGACATACTCAAAACTATATACTGGTTTGATTAATTTTTTCCCTGTCATTTAACTCAAGTTTATCAAACTCAAACAAAAATTAGTGACTTGCACTAGAAACCTATACCCTGAATATAGGTATATCCATTAAAGGGTTTGCGTTTCTCTTTCTTTCATTTTGAAAATAAGGTGAAAGTAGAGAAAGCCAGACATGGACTAGACTAGACTAGACTAGAACAGAACAGAACAGAACAGAATAATCCTTTTTTCTTGCATTTATATGTTGTTGTCATCTCACTTTTCATTCATTTTATTTGCTTCATTGTGTTGCTGAACTTTGATGTTATTATTTTTGTACAAACAGCTTTTGAAATCCTGCCATGCTGTCTCTCAATTTCAAGGTAGGATTTATGTACCCTGAGCAAGCTATTGCTACTATATAGATACCATTTGATGACTGATCCATATTGGCTTGATTTGGAATCAGTTTGGTACTTAAGAAGGTTCCAAGAATTATGTTGACATGCATCATATTGCCCGATGTACACACTACTAGAGTGTGTACTCCCAAAAGCTGGAATTGTATTTGCAGGCTTTAAATTTCACAGATGGTTAATTTCTTTTAAAATACATCTCTTAGTTTTGTATGTGTCGTGTCTTATTCATGTCTAGGTTTCATACAAAACATTTGCCCACAATTATGAATCATCTAAACATAGGCATCATACGTAACTGATAGCTACTTATAATGAATAACTAAGTGTGTGCATTGTAATTGGTCAAATTCTGCATGAAATTGGACTAAGTCAGTTCATTCAAAGTAAACAATTCTCACTTTTTGTTGAAAAACAAATCAAATATGTTGCCCGGGGGAGGAGGGAGACCACCTAGCTGTAGGAACAAGTTTTTCAGGGACACTTCAATCATCACATTTTGGGGAAAATGTGTCAACATCTTTGCTTGCAAATGTCATCCAGTTTCATCAACAATTTTAGTTTTCCATATTTCACATCTGACTTTAGTCCAGACCAAAATGGGCAACTTCTGATTTAGACCTAGCAGTCAGGGCTACTTTTTGAAGCCTGAAACTTATTCAGACTAGAAACATTGTAGTTTAGATAGAACCATTGTGGTCTCTCTCTCTCAGCCCTAGGAAGGAGGCAAGGGCGAACCACTTCTGAAAAAACTTTGCCAAGAAAACTGTAGAAACTTGTACAGGCTGTTGCCAGGAGTCAGTGCTAACTTGAAAGGGCCAAAAATAAATTATTAATTTCCATTTTGTGTGCCCAGCACTAGTGAATATTGTAACATTGGTACAAACACACTTGTCCGATTGAGATTTCTCTGACTTTGTTGTCATTATTTCCAGCATATTTTTTAATTGTATCTGAAACATGTGATCAAATTATAAATAATTTATATAAGTAGCAACTGTCCCTTTTTTTGGAGCCATTGTTTAAAACACTGTGCAACCTGTCTTACAATAGGGCTCCAAGAAGTACAGGAGAAGCTCCAGTTTTTCAAATCAGACCAGTCTGGTTTAGACAATAGGGATGAACAGATAAACCAAACAAAGTGAAAATCATTGAAATATAGAAACTTAATTCTCAGGCACTGTCAATTGTTCATGAACAAAATGCTACCAGTTACATCATGTGGCGGAAATAGTTTTGAGGCAGGCAGGTAACATCGCCACTATTACTTTTATTAATGTTATTATTAACATTATTAATACGATAAACAGGAAAACTTGTGGGGAAAAAAGACAGCATAACCTAACACTGCCCGATTCATGCTTTTCCAGAAATCACGTTAGCGGACTAAACTGTTAACACATTATTTCCAACTAAAAAATAGATCTTTGGGATATTTGAAAAAATAGATTGTAGCACAGTCAATTCCAAAATGTGCTGATAGTTATAAGATTTCTTCTCAAAAATAATGTTCCTGATGGAGAAGCGTTACCAGGAGCCTGGCTAATTTGGAGCTCTACCAAGCATATTTTGTATCTATTAATTTTTTTCTGAAAGGAGATCAAAACTGCGTAGTATGCTGGCAAAAGGGAAAAGAATATGGGGACAATAGTGAAGTAACATTCCTGAACACACAAAAAAAGGAACATAAAACCTGCTATTGGACTTTAACATAGACAGAGAGGTTCAAAATAAATACAGGTAGTCTTTGAGTTATGACCACATTTAAGCCCAAAATTTCAGTTGTCAAGTGAGACATTTGCTAAATGAGTTTTGCCCCATTTTACAACTTTTCTTGCCACTGTTGCTAAGTGAATCACTGCAGTTAATAAGTTAGTAGCCTGGTTGTTAAGTGAATCTGGTTTCCCCAATGACTTTGCTTGTCAGAAGGTCGCAAAAAGTGTTCACATGATCTTGGAACACAGCAAAGGTCATGACTATGAAGCAGTTGCATAACATCTGAATTTTGATCACATGATCATGGGGATGCTGCAAAGATCATAACTATGAAAAACGGTCATAGGTCACATTTTTTCAGTGCCATTCTGACTTTGAATGGTCACTAACTGAACTGTTGAAAGTTGAGAACTACCTGTATTCAGATAGGTGAACTAGGAGAGATGCATGGCTTAGTCTGCCAAGGGTGGGTCACTTTGACTGATTGCTTACCTGTGCCACTTTGACAAAGGCAGTGGGTATGTGGCCAGTTGGGTCCACAAGTTAATGTGACTTCTCATGATGATGTCATGAAACTGCGGCCCATCAGAGCCTGTAAAGCGTACCAGGCAATGTCATAGCATAATTGGGCTGCCCACTGCAAAGAAATGATGCTTGGATCCCGCCTAATGTGTTAGTTTTAATTTGGACCGCAATTACTTTCAGGTGCTAAACCATTGAGTGCCCTTTGTTCTATATAACATGGTGAAAATCATCCCCGCACGTAATTCCATCTTCCAGCAGTTCCTGAAGGCCTGGTTTACTTGGTCATCGAATGGCTTTTAGCTGTAGGATCCCTGAATTCATTTGTAAAAATTCAGTTGTTGAATCATGCCAGATTGGTCAGTATTTCAAAGCAGGCTGTACTTTTTTGTCAGTGCATTATGCTCCAGATTTGGGATTTTTTGATTATATCTTGACTTGAAATGGGATTCATTTGCCGTAAAAATATAAGGGAATGTTCTCAAAAAAGAATCATATTAATAGCATCTGCCCTAAATACTTAGATTTGTATTTAATCAGTGAAGAATTATATTTGCCTAGTATAAATAAACACTTTAGACTTGATTTATTCAGTATCTCTTTGCCCGTTCTGAAGCTGCAGGAAGCACCACCGAATGTTGTATGGCTCCCTTATGTTTCCTCTTTGATTCATGGGATGATTCTGAATGTTGGTCTTTTTTATCACAACCCTCCCTCCATAACACAGAATTACAGCTCCAAGAACCTCATGTATTGTCTTATTCCTCTCCACAATCATGCTAACAGCCCAATTCTCCTGCTTTGCAGGCCAAGGAGATGCAGCAGATGGTGAAGCTAGAGGCAGAGATGGACCGCAGGCCTGCAACAGTGGTATAAAGCTCCAATGCACAAACTGAAATCTGAGGCCATCTGATTTTTATTTATTATTATTTGGTCTTTGCAATGATAATTCACCGAAGATTGGAAGATGGGATCTCTTTTGCTTAGTGTCAAGTAGCAAATCTAGGCTGAAGAGCTTGGATTTTGGGGGGGGGGGGGGGGAATACTGTATTTTATTTTTCCAAATGAGACTCTCCTCCGACGAAAGCAAATGATTTTAAAATCCAAGAGCACCACCCTTAACATGATGGTTGTCTTTATCTGAATTATAAACACAACACTTGTTTCTGTTCTTGAAATGTTTAGTCTTGTTTGACTTGCCTTTGTATTTTATATTATTTTTTGCCTGGGCTTCCTTGACTTTGGAAAGACCAACAACTCTACTGTAATTTCCCAGAATTAATCTGCCTCCTGAAACAAGAACCTTTGAAGAATATTTCATAAGATTTCCCCTCCCCTCCTAAAGAACCCTACCTTGTAATACATTTGATAGCGTCAGTGGCTATCTTTCCATGACATTTTGATTTTGCCATGAGGACTGCTTGGACGAAAATGTTACCAAATGAAGTGTTGCCATGGGGAGTCCACCTTTTCCAGATGTTTGTTTCCCCATTCTGTTCCTCCTCTGTCCTCTAGTTATTCATGTTTTCCTTCCAATGATGAGTCTGCATTCTATGGACATTTGTTATGCCCAGTCCTGATAGGGCTGTTTTAGAGGATATTCTATCCCTTTTGTCTGTATCTGTGGGTTTTTTTCCCCCTCCAAAAATATTTTATACTCTATAAACCTTGACAATGTATAATGCCACTTTGGCTGCATAGAAACAGGCTCCGTAAAGGTATAACTTATATCAGTATACGATATTGGGGAAACTTCCATCTATAAACTTTGTAGAATAGATAAATGTTCATTATTAAAGCTGTGCGGGTTATTTCTGTGTTCAGAATTTCATCATCAGCAAGTGCCATGCTGGGCTGGATATGTCTGAATTAGAAGTGGTATTTTTTGTAAAATCCTGTTGAAAGGATTACAAGGTAGCAAAAGACTGTTCCTGTGCCATATTGATCTATGATGCTGTAGTTAAAAAAATAAATAAATGAAGGAATTGTATTTTAGGCACTCTAACCAGAGTTTACAGACTACCTAAAGCAGTGTTGCTCAACCTTGGCCACTTGAAGATGTCTGGACTTCAACTCCCAGAATTCCCCAGCCAGCNCATGATAATTGGAACACTGACATTATCCCAAAATCTATCTTTAAAATAAATCACCAGCAAAACACCAAACAGGGGCTGTGAGGAGTGCTGATTTCCCAATGCTGACTGACCCAGACAGCATAAAATATCTGTGAAGAAAATGAGCTGGACAAGACGCTTGTCCTGGAAGGGGTCAAAACTGTACGTTCCTTCTTGGTTGAGGCTGGAAGTTCTACAGTGAAGCCATGACGCGGAACCAGGAGGCCACTTTGGATTCCTAAAAATGCTTCACCTCACCAGGCATCAATTTTGGTGCCCAAAGATGAAATCAGAGGTGGAAAATTTCGTAAAAAGCTGTGCTACTTGCACAATGATAAAACCACTGCTGGAGAAGTCCCCTGAACTACTACAATGAGGGGCCAGCCCTAACTGACCATGGGAAGAGGTCGCAATGGACTTCATCATCAAACTCCCAGACAGCAGTGGGAACAGAGTAATCTGGACAGTTATTGACTTGGTTTCCAAGCAGGCACACTTCATCGCTTGCTCAGGGTTGCCGTCCACAAAGAAATTAGCGAAAATATTTGTGAAACACATTTATCACCTGCATGAATTGCCCAAGAGGATCATTTCAGACCGCGGAGTCCAGTTCAAAGCCAAGTTCTGGAGAGAGGTTCTGAGGTCCATTGGGTCCACACAAGAACTGAGCTCAGAGGTTCATCCAGCATGAACTGCGCAGCAGAGAGGGCCAATGCGGTAGTGGAACAATACATCTGGTGTTATGTGGACTATCAGCTAGACATCTGGTTGGACTTGCTACCCTTCGCCGAAGTGGCGTACAACAACGCAGGCCACAGCAGCACTGAATTAACTCCTTTCCAGATTACCAATGGCATGGAATTTGTTGCCATGCCTGAGTTGCCTAGAGAACCTCCCTCCTNCGGCACAGTGGTTGAAAAACACTGCTCTAATATATATGCTTTTGACGAGTGGATATTGCAAATTTAAGAGAATTGAGACATATTAAATTTGATACTGAGTTTGCCAAAATATTTGTTAGTAGTGATGACTAGAATAAGGCTTCAATTCTATGGACATGAATGCATAGGTTTATACCCACAGGAGGCTGGGATATGAGTCGATTTAGGGAGTGTCCATTGTGGGAAGGAGGAGCCACACTACTGAGCAAGGCTATCTATCATGGCTTACTCTGCTTCCCTGTGTGATGGTTTGCTTCCACAATCACATTAGCTTCCATCAGAAAAATCTATGGAGGCAAATCTCAAAAGGAGTGATCGTACTAGTGCAGCAATTTCTCTAAGTGCAAAGTCTGGCCTGGTGATGATTTTATTGTATTAAATCATACTTATAATTGTCTTCCTGCTAAGGACTACAAGGTGATTTGCATTACATCACCCATCACAGTACTCTACAACAATACTGTAAGAACGATTGTGAGACTGTGACTGGCTCCAAGACTCAGTGAGCAGCATGGTCAATTGGAAAGTTGGACCTGGGTTTGCTGGGTTCTAGTTTAAACCCCAGTCATGAGGTAGCTATGTGTGTGCATGTTGTTTTTTTTTATAATAGATCAGAAATGCATCATCGCTGCAAGCGTCTAAGCTGTCCTCTGGCAATAAGCCTTATTGAGCTCATATTCATATACTGCGGGTAAATTCAGAGCCAATCTGACACTTTAAGAGAATGAATGAATAGATCCCAAAACATTATGGTATGTCTTTGGAGCGATGTTTAAAGATTACAGACTCCATTTAAATCAATCACTTGCATTGTCTTTTGAGTTTACCTCCTTTATTTCTCTCTAAGCTAAGTATATCTATCTGGCTAAGTGGTGTGTATAAGAAAGAGAGTGAGATTTGGAAGGGCACCATACCCCATTGGGTTTCAGATCAGTGAGTATCTTTCCCCCCCTCTACACATTATTTCCCTTTGTGTGTATCTTTGCTGATCTTTCCGTTTCTTCCTGTCTCACTAATATAAATTTTCTATATTACTGGAGAATTTCATAAGCATGTTATAAGGTTATGTTTAAGGTGCACAGCCTCAAAATCTGGGTAAAGAACTAGTCCGCTAACATCTGCAAGGAGCATNTTTGATCTGGTGGCTAAGGCACCAAGCTAGAAACCAGGAGATTATGAGTTCTAGTCCTGCCTTGTCATGAAAAGCAGCTGAGTGACTTTGGGCCAGTCATTCTCTTTCAGCCCAATCCAATTCAGAGGGGGGCTGTGGGAAAAATAGGGGGAGGAAGGAGTATCAGATATGTTTGCCACCTTGAGTTTTTTTAATAAAAATAATAAAAGATGAGATATAAATAAAATAATAAATAAATAAATGTCATAACAAAGATGTGTGCTTCTTACTACTACTACTACCATAATCAAATACAGTGATAGTTTTATCTGAAAAAAATCATCTTACATCCATTGCTTCCAAAGAAACGTAAAAACTACTTGCATTAAACTGCAGTTTTGCTTTCCATAATGGTAAAAATCCATTCTTTCTGCCACTTTCTGTGTGGAGAAGACATGGAAACTTCCGTTCCACCCTATCAGTTTTGGAAATTACATTGTAAATCACTGCTACCTTTCAGTCAATAGAAGTCAATAACCTCACTTACAAGGGCTGCATTCGGGAGCTCTGAATTGAGAGAAGAAATTAGAGCAGCTGCTCTTTTCTTTTATGAGCCCAAACCTTATCCTGGAACCAACTGTCTAATTTAAAAGTTACCCACTGCAAACAGCATACTGTTTCCCTGGTATGTCAGATGTCTGGATGCAGTATCCTACCAAGGACAGTTGAAGTGTGTGTTTTGAAAAATGTAGCATTGTCCAGAGAAATCACACAAGAACTTGGAACAATGATTCTATGATGGCTTAAGCTTTGGAGATGATGGGCTTCCTTCTACAAATGTAGGATGGTAAGGAATGGACAAAGGAATTTGCTTCTTCTGATAACATCTTGGGGGAAGGAAATCTGGCTGGTCATTTCAATACATTAGAAACAGAAAATACATTCGTTCAAGAACTTAGCAAAAATGACCTACTTCCAGAGGTGATATTCATCAGGTCCTGACCAGTTCTGGAGAACCAGTAGTGGAAATTTTGGGTAGTTCGGAGAACCAGTAAATACCACCTCTGGCTGGCCCTGCCCCCATCTATTCTCTGCCTCCCGAGTCCCAGCTGATCAGGAGGGAATGGGAATTATGCAGT